TAGCGTTGTAACAAGAAGTAGAATATAAGACTGTTTGCAATTTACTACTTTCGTTTGAAAGATAAATTGCAGTACTTTACATGAAATTGTAGTGGAATTAGGGGATATTTTAGTCATATAAAATTTTAATTATTTATTTTAAATGTTCATGTTAATTTTATTTTTTGACGTTACAATTAATATATTTTTAATTCACGGAATTAAAAGACTTTAAAAGTTTGGAGAAACATTCAAAAATTATCATATGGTCTGTTATCCTAATTGAATTCAGAAAGAGTACCAAAAAAACTGGAACATCGCTTGCATTATTAATGGGAAATGACTGTGTATTTGTGGTAAATGTGGAAATTAGTATATATGTTGAGCGTCTGGTTTTTGCAAAATAGGACATATTTACACGCCTTATAGCGTCCAACCATTTGGGGTCCCTGTTTAAAGTGTGTGTAGCCCAGCCCAGCGCCAGACACGGGAACCAGCGCCTAAGCCCAATAAATGCATCTGGTTTTGAATTTCACTCTTGAGGATATTGGCATTTCTACTGAGCTGTGCATTTTTATATCACAGGGAGCAGTAAAGTTTAACTTAAAAAAGAATGTCTATGAACAATTCTTTATTCGAATACTGTTTGCTCTTTTGTGTCTTGCTTCAACCACTCAAATTTTAGAGCAATTGTTAATACGGTTTCTTTTTTATATCAACACAGCTTCTGTCATTTGTTCTTGTAAATGTACACGATGAAACATTCTGGTATTTTGAGAAACTTAACGTTTCGTAGACGTGGCACAGTTTCCTATTGTTTTCACAACAATGACAAAGGCGTTTGAGTTATCCGCTCCTAAGATATTTTCCCAATACGATATTTTTCTCAATTCAGCTATTTGTGTGCACACCACACACACACACCACAATAGGGTTTTGCTCGTGTGCAATCCTACTTTGGTCATTATTCAGCTTTAGCACAAATCACAGCCGTGAGTGATTATTGGGGTTACGTTGGCGGCAGATCATTTGTGGCAGTTTGCTCTGATTAGAAAGATGCTGCATCTCAAAGGCATTTGAACTGCGCTGGGGAATGGCTGTTTCATGCCTGGAGCCGTTATTGCGCCTTGATGTTTGCCGGGTAATGCATTATAACGTCATTCTAAGGTGAAGATGGCATGACTGATTATTTCCTTCATTTGGCCGCTTCGTCAACACAATATGTTTCGCGTAACAGCTGCAGAAAGCGTGTACGGGTTGACGCTTGGCAGTCTGTGCTTAGCGGCGCAGCGCCTGTGCACGGTGCCCATCCGTTGCAGATCGGTTCGTCTTAAATTAACTGTTCAATATGTTACAGACGTGGCCTGATATACAGCGGCCCTTTCCCCATAGTTTGAACATTCTTGATATTAATGGCCCGTGATTATTGACATTTTCACTTCGGGCCGACTAAGGACAATAGACCTTAATGTGCATGTTCATTTAAAGGACCTCAAGCCTTCCAAATGGATAAATGTGTGCTGTGCATGCCTCTTCTCTGAGGCCGTAAAGAATAGTGTTACTGGAGAAGAAGAAGAAAAATAATGACGCCAAACCGCTCGAGGTAATTTTTCAACAAAAGTGACAATTGGCAACGATAATGGGAGTTCACGTCTATCGCCGCAACACTTTTATAGGTTCACAATTATCACTCGGTAAAAAAATACTCAACTAGGCATTGGCCAAAAATCTCAAATAGAGTACTTTCCTAAACAAATATATGCATCTTTATTGTCAGTAAAACCAAAAGACCTGCAATTGGGCAGAGGACGACAAAAGATCGAGAGCCAATGCTTTCTCGGTATTTTGTGAATGCTGGCTCAAGATTTCTGCTACCTATGTGTTGCCATAAGTAGCTCACATTGCCCACAGGAGGAGTGGAGATCAAGGGAACGGTTGGTGGTGGCACTGGACCATTTGGAGGGTCCTAAATAGAAATTAACATTTTATAAACGTACGTTTAAGAAGCGTTCCATGTGTTTCACCCATGCTGTCTTAGCATTCTGTGACAACGTTGGTCACGTCTAACGATCCACGAGCGTGGACGACTGAGCAGTGCATCTGTGAGCCACAGCATACAGAATAACTCCTTTTCTTCTTGGTTCCTTCGGGAAAGTCACGTAGAAGGGAAATAATAAAATAATAAAAATGAAACCTAGTAAAATACAATTCTCACGACGTTTCGGCCACAACGCAAGCAGCCGTCCTCAGGTGAAGAACAGGTCTGTCGGAAAGACAGCGTCTGAATGTATTAAAAAAAAAATTTATGTTTTATTTTTATTATTTTATTATTTCCCTTCTATGTGACTTTACCGAAAGAACCAAGAAGATTAATCCCTGCAGTCACGAAAGCTTTAAATCGAAAAATAACTCCTCTGTTATCCGCCGTGATGTGAGGGACAAACATAAAGGATCCAGGATCCTATTATCCGTGATGTTCGCTGGGAATTTATTTCACTTGTCTGCAAAACAACCAGGAAGAATAGGGCCGCGGATAATAGGAGTTTTCATGGACCCTACAGCTCCCATAGATTATAGAAGTCGCGGGTAACTGGTTTGTAGATAAGAGGAGTTGTGTATAAAGCTTTCGTGACTGCAGGGATTCATCTTCTTGGTTCTTTCGGTAAAGTCATGTAGAAGGGAAGTAATAAAATAATAAAAATAAAACATAATAAAATAAAATAATTCTCACGACGTTTCGGCCACAACGCAAGCAGCCGTCTTCAGGTGAAGAATGAGACACTGCCAAACTAGGAGCTTATATATAAGCTGCGTTGGAGGTGGAAGAGCGCCTTATGCACATTCTTTTTGTTAAGGCGCTCTTCCACCTCCAACGCAGCTTATATATAAGCTCCTAGTTTGGTAGTGTCTCATTCTTCACCTGAAGACAGCTGCTTGCGTTGTGGCCGAAACGTCATGAGAATTATTTTATTTTATTATGTTTTATTTTTATTATTTTATTACTTCCCTTCTACGTGACTTTTCCGAAAGAACCAAGAAGAAGAGGAGTTGTGTAATTGATAGAAAGAACATAGTTTTGCCAAATGATTAACACTGAGCGTGTGTGAAGCCGGTTGAAAAGCGCAAGCCGATAAAACTGTTGTTGGGTTTCCAGTTCGCTCATTTCCCACCTTTATTTAAACCAGGTGACGGCCCTTAAAGACTCAAAATGCCTGCTCTTCAAGGAGGCCTGGGTAATGGAACATGATAATGCACATGCACGCGAACCATCGAAACGAAAGCACCACGAAACTGAGAACAAAGCTAAATTCTTGACAATTAGCGACAGTGTAGATATGTTTAAAATATACTTTAAGTCACAAAAATATACATTTTATATGTTTAGGGTAGAGTTTCCAATATCGTGTTTTTGTTGTTGCTGTGGTATAGGTATAGGGTACAAGGTAACGAGTAAACATTATTTGGGGCTGCTGCTATTGTTGCATTGGCAGTGGGGCACAAGTATAATCAACACTTTTGTCAATAACATTGTGGCCCTAAAGGGGAAAAAACATAATCGGAGAAGTTTTGGGAAATTGTCCTTCTTCATAGCGGAAAAAAAACAGAGGGCAGAGAGAGCGAGCGAATAATGGGTTGGAGACTGCACCAACAAATACGATTTCCCTTCAAAACCCGAATGGATAGGGAGTCGCCTTTTAAACACAAGATAGATGCAATGTTATCCCATGCACGAAGAACACCGTGACAAAAATATAAATGTCCAGGTTGAGTGTTCGCTCTTGGCATGTAAGATAGGGATTCTGAGGCACATATTAAATTACAAGGGGTTAAAGTCAGCATTCGTACACCAGATGGGCTTTGTGGTAACTTTTTAGTATGGTAGTTTACGCTTTAAAGATAAGCTTAAACCGATGCATAGCTGTTTGTGTTGATAATGGATCCATAGCCAGTTGTACTTTAGAGGTCACAATGATGGCCAAAGTGGTTCTTGCCTGCAACAAAGCAAAACTGAGTATCTTTAGCAAAGCCATATAAGTGGTATTCATTTGATAAAGATAGTTTTTTTCTAAAATCAATAGGATGAACACAAATGTATATGCGCTTCCAGAACAAGGGTACATCCAATGCACTAACAGGTTAAATATATATACGCACCATTTATATTTGTTTTAAATGCACGTAAGGTTACATTGAATGCATATAGTCCAAATAAGCTATGCGCGTGTCAGATTCAGTCCGATTGTAGACGGTTCATAAAACATTTCTGTAAAAACAACACGTAAATCACAGCACACGATGCCAATAGGCGGTGTCAGATGAAGAGACGAAACTATTCCGTTTTGTGAACAGTCCCTTACTCGACTCTGCACTCGCACGTTTTGCTTTGAACCATCCAAGTGTCACAGTCCCGCATTCGTATGGTCGTCTACCCTTCTAATTCCTTGTGCCTCTTAATTGAAACCCGGTACGTGGGAGTGGATGGCAGGTGGTACAATGCAATGGCAATGCATTGGCCCGCATGCGAGTGGAGAGAGAGTTGGTATACACGGTATGCAGTGACAACTACGACTGACTGTCCAGCGCCGCTTTCATCGGGTCGTCTGCCCTTCTATTTCATCGATCCTCTTCAGGAGTTAACTGAAACCCGGTGGAGGCAGCGGGGGGCAGGGGGCAGCTGGTGCAATGCATTGGCACCGCATTGTCCCGCTACGCGAGAGGGGAGAGAGAAGGGCAAGGCGCCGGGTACGACGACAATGACCGAGCGGGTCGGTGATCTTTTTGTCATTGCTGCTGTTGCTGCTTTGTCCTTAACAGGTGCGCGCGGCTGTTGAGCCTGGCGCTGTGATGCCCCAGCGGCGGGCGTTGCTGCCTCCCGGGTGCCAGAGGACGCGCCGCTGAGAGCGCTGTTTGGCGATAGCGGGGTGCTCCGGCCGGCCGGCGGCGTGGGGTGGGCGGGGAGCGGAGGCGGCGGGGGGGGGCGGCGGCCGCGGCGGCGGCGGGAGGAGGAGGAGGGGGGCCGCCCTTCGAGACCCAAGACGGTGCGCGGGATGGCGTACAGCCGGGCCGAGCTTGGCGCCATACAGGCGGGTGACGGCGAGGTGGAGGTGGATGAGTACAGCTCCAACCCGACGCAGGCGTTCACCTACTACAACATCAACCAGAGCCGCTTCCAGCCCCCCAACGTGCACATGTGAGCGACGCGCGCCGCACACGCACGCACCTCCATCTTCGCCGATGCCATCAGAAAGCCGTGCAAAAACGATGGATGTTTTGCAGCATATTGAGGACTTTTTAGATGCCCTCTTGACTGACGGTGCTCAGTTCCCTCCATCTGATCGACATATGGTGCAGAAGAAGTTCAACATGCATACATCTGGCTTTGGGCGCCACGTTAACTACGTCGCCTGGTATACAGGAGGTTGTGGGTTCGATCCCGACCCCCGACACCTGTATATTTGGAGTTTGCATGTTCTCCCTGTGGTCGCGGGGATTTTTCTCCGGCTCCACCGGTTTTTCCCTCCACATTTAGAAACATGTGTTTGGAGTATTTAGCTGCTATAAATTTCCACGTGATAAGCCACTTCGTTGAGAAATCATTTTGTGGCCAGGTTGCTTCTGAAAAAGAGCTATATAGCTCATTGGGCCTTACTTGGTAAAAGGTAAATGTGTTAGTTTAGTTTAAGGTTGATACCATGTGTTGTTCAGTATATGATGTTCGACATTTCGCTTCCACATGCTGGGAGCTTTTTCAAAACATCGATGCTGAACGGCACTCGATGTGGTACAACCCGGAACCACATCCGAGGACGATACCGCACGACCGTTGAAACCTACGCAGCACTATTCCATCTACAGGCTGTGGCCAGGTGCATCAAAATCAAATTGTTAATGCTCTCGCTTCTCTCTCTACATCACAATCTGTTTGCCAGCACTCTCTCGTGTCTGCCACGGAAGTCCATACGCAGAACTCGGGACCTCTTGTTTTATGCTTTAGAAATCCCCATTTCCCTCCTGGCCATCCCATCCAACTTAATCATTCATTCTTTATAAAGAAATCTTTTCAGACACTTTAATCCTTTTCAACTGGCCCATTGTCTCTCTCTCTCTCTCCTTGTCACTCCTTCCTGTTTACCACAGTGCTTAGAATAGCTTTTAAAGCAGCCTTCTTTTTTAAAGTCCCCAAGATTCTTATCTTGAGTTACACAAGGGTGTTGGCAGCTGGCTTCCAGGCTGTATTTTATTCTGATTAACCACATTAGCATTTGATTTTGTCTTGGAACAAGTATGTCTATATCTAGCGCACTTCAGAGCTGAAACAGCAAAGCCATATGAAGTCCATTGCGTTTCAAATGTAATTCAAATGTATATTAGAAACGCACTTTTTGTCTTTTCATTATATGTATATATATATTTACGACTCATGATTCTCTACCACAGCGTGCGATCAGTGTAGAACAGTTTTGCTGTGCTTGTGCTGAATGGGGCTTACACCTTTTTTTGGAGAGCTGGTCTTCTTCTCGAGAATGTCCAGCGATTTCAGCAGGATTTGCTTAATGGGACCGACTCTGCTGATGAGCCACTGGAGGTCGAAACCAGCCCAGAGCTTTCCTGCTTAAAACAAATGCTGCTGAAAAACATTTGTCCAGAAGGCCAACAGGCTGGTGGTCAAAAATACATGTAATGAGATGTTGGCAGACATTACTGCCTGTCTGTTCATTATACTTTGCTAATGGACTTCCTCTCCGTTTACTCTATATCCGTCACACATTTTGGTACGTTCAGGGTGTAAATCTTAACATAACACATTTTAACGTAATTTTTTTAAAGATTTAGCCATGTAGTTTGATTTAAAAAATATATATGTCCGAATTTTCTTGTTAACATTTTACTGGTGTGGTGTTTTTCCCTGGTCCAAGATTGCCTGCTTTGTTTATTTTTTACCACTTATTTTAACATTTCCTGTTGGCACAGTTGTGTACACTGCATGTTTTCACAGATCTGTGTTGGAAAAGGCACAGGCTGTCTCGATGGGCTGTCTGAGTTACAAATAAAGGTTTTCATTCATTCGTATTTATCGCCAGATCTACCGAAGAAATATGTAGAAATATTCTGGGGATTTAGGAAGATATATATTGCCAGCCATTTTATGACATTAATTCTTCGTCAGAACAAGCAAGCGCCTATTATTATGTCCAAATACAGACTGCTATATAAGGCTAAATATAAAAGGCAGGGGCATAGTTATCTGGCATGCGGGCGGCGCAACTTTTCCCCAAGTCCCACAGGCCAGGCGGGCCCAGGCCTGGGCCAGACTACAAAGTGAGATGGAAATAAACTTAACTGAACCATTTTTATTTAACAAGTAGGGCCCACTGAGCAATGTAGCTCTTTTCCAGAAGTGACCTGGCCACAAATTATAGCTCAACAAAGTGGCTTTTCACGTGGCAATTTATAGCAGCCAAATACTCTAAAAGCATGTTTCTAAATGCGGAGGAAAAAAACCAGAGGACCCGGAGAAAAATCCCCGCGACCACGGGGACAACATGCAAACTCCAAAAATACAGCAGGGGTCGGGTTCGAACCCACGACCTCCTCAATTCCAGGCGAGATAGTTAACATCTCACCACTGTGGTGACCTAATAGGACAGGGGGAAGGGCCCCCATTTCATTCCCTGCATCAGGGCCCGTGCCAACCACGCTACGCTACTGCCATAAAAGGGGGCTTGTATTTTGCTCGCACACATTCGTTGTACAGACCCAGAAGTGGAAATTGTGTGATCCTACGCCATGGAAGCAGTGTATCTGCCCCCCTGGCATAGGATTATTCCTTTGTCAAATGTGGTTAGTGGAGGTGTTGCTGGAGCTTGTACGGGGGAGGGGGATGCATTTGAGCGCTTTATTTACGCGAGATTGAAGGTAAAAGAGCGGTCCCGTAACTTCTTGGTCGCACCACTGCTGCCAGAAGGGCCTCCACTAGAGCAACCTCTGGAGAGAGCCCCTTTGAAGGATACATATTTGGGCTACTTTCTACATGCTGGCCAGACGTCTTGGAAAAGGTGGGAGCGCCCGCCCGTTACCCAATCACGCGCGACCTGGTTGATCTATCGACTAATCGTGGCATTACCCATTTATACTGCTCGGGGGGGCGGGGGGGGCTATTTAAGAAACTTGCCCAATGTTCAAACTGCCAGGACATATATACACCAAATATATGTCTAAGTAAAAACAGTTCATGCCATCTGTGTAACATTTCTGAAATCTATATTACAGCTTCTACCATTCCCATATTGGTGTTTTGTAGATGTCTTATGTATAAGTATGTCCTTTGGGATTTCTGGGGATTCAATAATGACTTGTGTCAAAACATCAATGTATTTAGTACGAGGAATATTGTGAATGCAGGTGTTGTTGCATAATAATTAATAAGATTCATGGCTTGGGTATTGTCATTTGTTTAGATATTGGCTGTTTGCTAATCCGTTAAGACTACTGCTGCATGTGTGACGCGTCCGATCCCAATTTTTTTTTTTGGCCGCTACTATTGCTCTGCGAGGTTGTTGTTGTCAACCGTTATATTTTCATGCCGTTGATGCCAGAAAACCCTGCACAAAATAATAATTGTAAGAAAAAAAAACCAGCGTGACAATTTACAGCATAGGGGATAAACATACATTTGTCATGCCACATTCTTTGCAAGTCCCAGACAAATGAGCTTTGAGGTTTCCGCAATAACAACTCCGAGAGCGGAATTTAATCAAGGTGAATGAAGAAACATGTATTTCTTCTTAATTTCCACGTTTGCTTAAAAATCGCAGAGCTGTTTGGTTTAATGAAGATTGATTGGGTGCAGTTTCTGTATGTCCATCTCATTGCAGTTCAGAGCGCAAGTCACTTCCTTTGGCAATACCGACTTGTTTGGTCTGTGCACAGCAAGCACTGCTGGGACTACCTGCCATTACTCACACAGAATATGGAATAGAGTTTTACAAAAGTTACAACCGGCAAAAAAAAAAATCAACTCGCGTCTGTTTTGTCAGTTGTGATTTAATTACTACATTAAATACCTTTTACTTGATTGAAATAATCCATTGCTTTTAAGTTGGAATTGAGCGAGTATGGATTTTGAATGACTGAAAATTTGTGATGGGTTAACTGTGCAAGATGCCAATGTGAGTGCTGTACCCGTTAATTAATTTGTCCTTCCGTAACCTCAAGCCATTTGCAGTTTTCACGATTGTCATTCAGGTTCCCCGGTTGCATGCGTAGCTCGAAACCCAATTGCACCACTCAGCCTTTAACGCACCTAGACTCAATTACTTTTCTGTCAACACGTTGATATAAAATACGGCATATGGTACTTTTTTTTTTGCAACGTTTGAAAAATGTAACATCCCATTGGTCCTAGTCAAGCATATATATATATTTGCAAGGGAAGTAAAGAATTTTGATTCTGCGTACATTTTATTTTTTTTCATAAAGTGTGCTCGCTGGTTGATTCCTGGAGGACGGCACTTCTTTCTTCTCGTGGGTTGTAATTTCGCGCTGCAAGTGATGTTCGCACCCTCCAGAGTCCATGCAGTTTGGACTTTCATTTATATACTTTCAAGTGGCGGTCGCGCACCCGCGATCAGAAGCGTTGCGACAATTTGAATGCAGCACGCGAACCGGAGAGTTTGCGGCAAACATCCCAAACGTTTGGCAGGGATGTGTTCGTGCTGCCGCTCGACAAACGGCATTGCCCCTTCCCCACCATCCATCCGCAGAGCTCTCGTAAAATGTTGGGCTTTGCCCCCCTCCCCGATGAGGCCAGCTCTCCACGTGTCAAGTGTATAATTTGCGCGTAAAAATGCACCGCTAAAGCATTTTGATGTATTCGAATTCTGCCTGCGCTGGCAGTGTACGGGGCGGGTGAGGCATAATTCTGCAGTCTTGGTTGGCGGCGCGGTAACAGATGGCACTGATTAGGCGAATTTGGATTTTTTTTTATCTGCAGGATGTTATGACTGCAGCAGCAGCAGCAAAACGCTTTGCAAGGGTCTTCTTGTGCAGGAGCACAGAGCAAAGCCAAAGGTTCCGCGGACAATATCGAGTAAATGTTTTAGGCTTTATTGGCTGCACCGTTATTGCTATCGTCATCTGTAATAATGTTTAACTGTATGCAAATAACATGTTATAGTAATCAACGGAATC